CCGCAGCTCCCTTCCTGCCCTGGGTTAGGAGGACTGCCTTGGTGTTGGGGCGGGGGTGGACCCGGAAGGGCACTGAATGTGGGAATTTGGGGCCATAGGAAGGCCTTCAGGAACTCGGGATACCCCAGGGGCTGGGCACCCCAGCCAAAGGGGCAGAAAACCTCTGTATCTGCCACTGGCCTAGGTTCCCTACTGGGAACCCTGCACCCACACGCAGCTGAACAGCTCACTTGTCTTTTTGCTCCCAACTAATTGTTCAAGGAAGCTCCAAGGAGAGCTGCAGGTCCCTGGGAGCCACGCACCTCCCAAAATAGGGGAGAAGAGACAGAGAAATGCAGAGATTGCATGCTGCCCCTGGCAGGTACGCTTGGGAGGTCAACAGTGGGCAGCACAGAACTCAGGACAGTAAGGGCAGTAGGAAGGAAGATGGCGCTGGCAGAAGCTGGGAGGAATTCTTTGGGGGTGCATCCACCTCAAGATTCCAGAGATGAGTTCAAAAGTTCCAGGTTCCCCTTGTTGTGGGAGGCGTGACTTAGGTGATGAAGGGGGCGGAACTGGAAAAAAATTTCACCCTCCCTAAAGAGATTTCTACTTCTTAGGACTGTTGTGATGCAAAACATGCACGTGTCTGGTGGTCTTCCCACGGGCATGGCCCACCCAGGGAAGGGGCAGCCCAGAGATGGAACCACTGGGGCATCAAAACACAAGTTTGGCCAGCGGGCAACCTTGGAGGGGATGAAGCCACCCTGCCCCGCACCCCTGCCCGGGGACCCATCACCAACAACCACAGGACTGGTACAGATGTAAAACAGATGCATTCTTTTCCAACCATCCCTGTGAACTGAAACTGTGGACAGGCAGGAGCCGGGGGGTCAAGCCCTGACTCTCTGTAGGATGTTGGGCAAAGGGCCCTTCACCTCGGAGGACTTCAGTTTCCTGTCTATGAAATAGAGAGCTAGGACGAGATGGTTCTAGCGAGGTCTGGTAGCAGCCCCGGCTCCCCAGTTACCTCTAGGTCAAAATGAAGGCCCCGCCCTTCAAGGCAGGCACCTTCTGCCGGGGGTTCACCTGGGCAAAGACATCACTGAGGTGCTGGCCTGCAGAGAGCCCATCGTGGTGGATGGTGGGAGGAAAACGCCAAGCCCTGCCTGGCTGCGCCCACCCCCCCCCACGCCACCCCCCTCTCAAGGCCCAGGCCCCAATTTCATGGCTCTTCTCCAGCCCCGGGTTGCTCTCCAGTGTGGGAAAGGCTGCTATGGGAGAAGTGGGAGGCAGTTCTGCCAGCTGGTGCAAAAGACCTTGATACCCCTTGCCAGGTCCTGGTGGGCATAACCGTCCCCCAACAGCACGCCCCCAAAACAGAGCTCAAGAAGCTCCAGCCAGGGTGGGGCCTCTCCTTGCCTGGGCCCTCACAGATACCCAACCCACTGCCTTTCCACCATTGCCAGCATCACAAGCGCCCATGCAGGGTGTCCCCAACTGCAGGGGCCGGGAGGCTGGTGCCCTGAGTGGACTGTGATTCCCTTCGGTGCCCCTTTCCCTGTGGACTCTAAGGTAGGGTCACCAAACACAGACAAGTGGCCTCTTCCTGGTGTCCACTTACTTGCAACCAACTTCCACAGGCCCCTGAGTGTCCCCTTGCTCACCCTGCCCTGAGCACCGGGGACAGAGCTGGCCCTGTCGTTAGGCTCTGCATTCTTGTCCCACCACAGCTCCCCGGAAGGGTGCAGCCCACTGTCCCCCAGGACCCTGACCTCTGCTCAAGCTCATATGAGTGTTTTCTGCTCCTTCAGATGCAGCCAGAGAGAAGCTTCTGAAGGGCACTTAAGCATCACTGCTGCCATGCTCAACAGCCTTCAGTGGTTCCCCATTGCCACGGGAGCAGGGGGAAGCTGCTCAAAGCCATAAACTATCCACTACCGCCTTACCCCTCCAGCCTCAGCCCCACTCTCTCTCCTCCCTTTCCCTCCCTTCCGACTGTTCCTTCACCAGGGACCCTCCCCTCCTCTCCTGGTGAAACACACCTCCTACTGCACCCTCTATCTGACAGCCCAGTTTGGACATCCCTTTGTCCCCATGCCCTCTCCCCTACCCCACACTCTGCAGAGGTAACCCCGGGGCAGGACAAGTGGGCAGTCCCCAGAGGAGGCTGGGAAGAGATGGCGATTCAGGCAGAAGGACAGGCTGGTGCAAAAGGCAGAATGGCAGGCGAGGCCCACCGAGCTGGGGGCCCTGGGTGGAAGGCTCAGCCAGGCAGAGTTGCCCTACTTGCCCCACCAGCAAAAAGGGAGTTCTGCTGTCCCCTGCCCCAGCTGCCATGCCAGCTGTGCCCTTGGGACCTTGGGGACCTGTCAGAGAAACAAACCCTCTTGCTCAGAGTGCAGGGCTCGCCAAGCCCCTGCAGTCCCCCTCCTGCTCCCATAACTCCCCGTCGGCTGCCCCCCTTTCCAGTAGGAATAAGAGGCAGAGGACAAGGTAAGTGAAGGCAAAGCAGGAGGAGGAGGAAAGGACAGAGGGGGACCCAGTGCAGCCCAGGCCAGAGCATCAGCAGCTGGGGCCACAAAGGAGGGGCTCACTCTGCCACACACCCCGTGCGGCCCCCCTAAAGCCCCCTCCTCCTGCCCCTTTCCCTGGGGCCCCAACCCTATGCCCAGGTGCACCCCGTCTGTTCGCAGCGTCCCTCCTCCTTTCCTCATGCCTCCCCCACTTTTTACTCCGCTTCAGCTGAGCCCCGTGGTCCATTCCATGGGACCAAGCAGAGTTTGGGGATCCCCGAATCTTGTATCTCCCTGGTGGCTCACCTATTCGGCGCTGGCCCCAGGACGGGGGTGACTCGGAGAGGGGTCCCCCTAATTGGTGTTCGGCCTCCTCGTCCCTCACTGACTTCTCGGTCCCCCAGACCCGGGCCTGGCCCACCTTTGCGCAAGTCCACGGAGCGCAGCTCGAAGGGGATGCCGTTCTTCTCGGCGAAGATGTAGACAGCGCGGCAGGGTTGGGACAGCAGGTCCAGGTAGAGCTCCAGGCCCATGGCGGGGACGGACCAGCCTCGCAAAGCACGGGATACGGAACACAGCAAGCCCAGCGCTGGGTCTGACGAGCAGCAGCGCGGCCCGACCCCCCCCACCCCGGTAGCTCCCCATTGGCGCTCTGGCCTCGCACTTGGGTGCAATCGCGGAAGCCCGGCGAGTCTGAGGGCTGGGCGGGGGCTCCGGATGGTCCCCCTGGGGGAGGCAGGTTGGGGGGCTCAGAGGGCCCCCAGGCCCAAGCTCATCTCACTGAGCATAACGTCTTCAAGGCTCATCCTAGTTGTAGCGTGTGTCAGAACTTCCTGTTTTACGCATGAGAAAATTGAGGCCCACAGTGGATTACAGGTCCAGAAAGTCTGACTCCAGCATCTACGCTCTTGGCCACAAGCTGCAGAGATCCTGGCGCCAGCAAGAGGCAAAGCCTCAGGGCTTACGGTCAGCGTGGTGGGCTAACTCACTTCGCCCCGGTGCGCACCCTGGACTCTGACAGCAGGTCTTCCTGCTCCTGCCAGCCCAGTACCTCAATCTCGTTCCCTGGGTTTGCTTCTTCCCTCCTCTGGGCCTCTGTTTCCCCACCTTTAAAATGATGGAGCAATCCCACTGAAAGATCCAGCAATCCCACTTCTGGGCATATATCCAAAGAAAATGAAAACAGGATCCGGAAGAGATATCTGTAATCCCATGTTCATTGCAGCATTATTCACAATAGCCAAGATATGGAAACAACCTAAGCGTCTGTTAAGGGGTGAATGGATAAAGAAAAATTGGAGAATATACACTGACACGTACAGAGGAATCTTTCATCTAGCCTTTAAAAAGAAGGAAATCTTGTCATTTGCAACAACATGGATGAACCTGGAGGTCATTATGCTAAGTGAAATAAGACAGGCCCAGAAAGACAAATACTGCCTGATCTCACTTATGCTGTGTGGAATCTAAAAAAAGTGGAACTCTAATAAGCAGAGAGTAGATGGTGGTTACCAGGGGCTGGAGGGCGAGGGGGGAAATGGCAACATATTGGTCAAAGGGTATAAAGTTTTGAATACCCCAGATAAATAAGTTATGGAGATCTAATGCACAGCATGGTGACTATAGTTAACAGCACTGCATGGTATACCTGAAATTTGCTGAGTAGTTCTTAATTATTCTCAGCAACAACAAAAAATGGTAACTGTCTGCTGAAAGGAAAAAAAAAAAGGCACAACCTGAGTGTTGTGAGTGAAGTTTGATCCAGGGTCTTGCTGAAAACTACAGCACAAGAGACAGCCTTTTCAAAAATCCAGTTTTTGTTTCATTGATCTTCTCTACTGTTTTTCTCTTCTCTATTTCATTCATCTCCACTGGAATCTTTATTATTTCTTTTCTTCTGATGGTTGTGATTTGAGATCTGTATGCCTTTACAGCTATAAATTTGCTTCACAGCCCTGCTTCTGCCGCATCCCATAAGTTTGGGTGTGTTGTGTTTTTGTTTTCATTTGTTCAAAGTACTTTCTAATTTCCCTTGTGATTTCTTCTTTGATCCACTGGTTGTTTAAAAATGGATTGTTTAATTTCCAGATATTTCATCTTCTAGTTTTCCTTCTGTTGTTCATTTCTCATTTCATTCCACTGTGTTCAGAAACACACTATGATTTCAATCTGTTTAAATTTCTTGGGATTTATTTTATGGCTTCAAAAAGGGTCTAACCTGGAGAATACTACATGTGCCCTTGAGAAGAACGTGTATTCTGTGTTGTGGGTGCAGTGCTATGTGTAGTTGGCAGGCCGATTGGTTTAGGGTGTTGCTCAATCATCCATTTCCTTGGGGATCTTTGGTCTCACTATTTTATCCATTAGTGAAAGTAGAGCACTGAAGTCTCAACTCTTATTATTGACAGTTTAATCATGTTTAACCTTTAATTTTCAAATTCTTTTTGGAAGCTGGGGGGACTCATGACCGCCCCCCAGACCCACCACATCAGATGTGTGTCCCAGGCTCAGCAACCGTGGCGGTTGTTCCAGTTCACTGAAAAACAGTGATTTTCAGCGTCTCCCCTAAGGTAGGAGGCGCCGGGGGCTGAGCTGGCCAGGCCCGCAGGCTGGGCTGCTTCTACGTGAACTTCTGCAGCAAATCGCAGATCCTCTCCTTGACCATCGGATCCAGCGTGGAGCAGTCCCACTCCGCCAACTTCACCAGCCGGTCGTGGGCCTCCCAGAAGAGGTCGGAGCCGATGGCCAGCTCCACCCTCATGCGCCATTCGGCCAGCTTGGAGCTGTTGAGGAAGACGTTATGGTTGCCCGCCATGGGCTGTGGAGAGACAGAGAGGAAGGCATGGTCAGCCTGTGGACCAGCCCCACCTGCGTCCCTCCTACAGCTGCAGGGCTCTCCCCATCTGTCCCTGTGGACAGTGAGCTGGCTAACCCCTGAGGCCTGGTCAGGGGTCGCAGGCCATGTAACACATGTGGGTGGGGATGGAAGATCCCTGGGGGCTCTCAGTCGCTGGTCTTGCTCCAAGGCTCCTGAATCCCTCTCTAAGGGACCCCTGGCCCAGGGGTTCCCACTTCTCCAGCGTGAAACCTCCCAGGGGTCCTGCCCTCTTCCAGGGAAACCCCTTGTCCCCAGATGAGGGTGGGAGGAATTCAGTTATTTTTCCCCCCTGTTGAACCTCCCTCTGTGATCAAGCACAGGGGCGGGGATGAGAAAGCCATCAGGCAGCCTAAGAAACATGCACACAAGATGTTTGGGGGGTTGTGAATGAAATTTAAGGGGTGGGGGGTGAAACTGAGGGGACTGCACCACCTGGGACAGAAAGATTGGAATGTTTTTTTCCCGGTGCTGGTCCACACTGCACACTGACCAGGGCCACTTTGCATACTGGCCAGGGTCTCAACAGCATCCTGCACACCAGCTAGGTCAGAACTGGTCACCCTCCCCTGCACATAGAAACCACATAAATGCCGCCCCACACCCACGTGTGTCCCCCCATGCACAGCGGATGCCCCTCAGACCCAGAGCCAGGGAGCTGCTCTGTACAGCTATCTGTCTGGAGCTCTGGAAAAGAGGCACTTTGGCTGGAAGGACACTTTGGAAGCCTCTGGACAATTTCCGGAGAGTCCAGCGGGAGGAGGAGGCATCCAGGATCCTGGCCGACTGACCAAGAAACACTGTGTTCTTCTCCTTGTCCCACGCTGGCCCTCCAGCTCCTGCCCCCACAGAGGACTCTTGGTGAAGCATGAATGACCACGATCCTCCCCGATTCAAAACCTGTGTTTCCTGTGGCCCCCGGGTCAAGGCCAGACACCCAGGTGTGGCTCCCACAGTCCCCATATCTCCCCGTTCACCAGCCTTTCTGAAAGTTATGGTCACAGAGGAGTCCCTCCTCTGTCCAGGCTCCATCCCCCCATCCCCCCCACCGCACACCTGCATCATCTCCACCAGGGCTACCAAGTCGGCCAGGGAGATGTTGTCCCCGGTGATGAACATCTTCTCCTGCAGAAACTTTTCCTCAAAGAGCTTCAAGTTGTTCTTCACCTCTGCCAGCACCTGCTCTGTCTTCTCAGCTGGAACTTCCTCACCCGTGATCATCGGGATCAGCAGCTGGCCAGGGGAGGGGAGGGGAGGGAGAGGAGGCCGTATCTGACCCTCCAGGTCTCAGTACCCTTTTCTGCTAGAGAGGTGGTGGACAGTACCAAGGATGTAAAGTGGTGTCACCTCTTTTAGCAGTTCTGGTTGGTGGAAGTTGCCTGGGGCCCTTGTTCAGAAGGATTTGAGGTCCCAGCAGGAAAGAATCCTATGATTGATTACTGATATCTGTCACAGGCATAGGATAAGAAGTAGGGACACGTGTACTGGTTATTTGTCATCTTCAAATTTGGTAGCCTTTATGGGCCCTTTGACTCTGGGGTGTTTTTTTTTGCGGGGGGGGAGTGTTTTGCTGCATGGCTTGCGGGATCTTAGTTCCCTGACCAGGGATTTAACCTGGGCCACAGCAGTGACAGTTCCAAGTCCTAACCTCTGGACCACCAGGGAATTCCCAACTGTGATATTTTCTAGTTTGGAATGAAATGTCTTGAATCCTATCCCGTCTTCAGTGATACCAGCCCCTCCTGGGCACCCCTCACCTTGTCTTTATAAGGCTTTCCTACTCAGTGGTTCACACTCCCCACAGCTCTGTAAGGCAGGCAGGAAAGGGAGCTGTGGAAATGAGGCTCAGGGAGGGAGGGAGACTTGCTTGAGCCCCCGCTGTGGCCCTGCTCACCTTGATCCAGAGTATCTTGTTCATGGGCAGCTGAAGGGCTGTGTGCTGCCAGGCCATGAACTCGTCCACGCGGGCGCGCGTGTGCAGGTCTGGCGGGTACCAGTGCGAGGGCGCACTGTACTTGCGGCACAGGTAGAAAAGGATGGCCACACTGCAGAGAGGACAGTCAGGGCGCTCCTCTGGCCTCCCCAACCCTCTACACGAACCATCCAGCGGGGCTGGGCCCAATGTGGGCCCTCCAGCCACAGGTGGGCTCTAGGCACTGACATCCCACCTGGAGGAGGATGAGCCCCGAGGGCCCCGGGAAAGGCAGTCAGTCCGCCCCCATCAGCGAGGGCAGGGAGGGGCCCTGTGGGGCAGGTGGGAGTTGGTGGATGGCATCAGGAAGGGCAGTCCAGACAGGGCACAACACGTAGGGAAACACAGGGTAAGGGGGGCGCGGGAAATCTGGAGAAAGCAGAACCCATGAGTGACGGGGAGAGGGTGCAGGCTGGGTGGGGAGAGGTCAGGGACAGCCAGAGATGGCCTGCACTGCTCTGTCCATGCCCACTGCCCACCGCCCCCACCGCCACACCTTCCGTGTCTCTTGATCCTGCACCTAGAGGTTACGGTCCTCAACGCTTATTCCCTGCCTTCAGCCCTCCCGGCTCCCACACTGGGAGCTCGGATACCAAGCGGGGACCACACACACCAGCACGTTCTCTGACAGCCCCTGCCCCCAGGGTGAACCAGAGCTTACTGTGACCGGAGGAGCCTCACCTCCCGGCGGACAGGCGCCCAGCCCACATCACAGTCCCTGGGATGACCCTGGAATGGGCATCTGGCCTTTTGTCTGGCCAGCACCCTTTCCCCCACTTTTCCCGCAGGGACCCGCTCCACCAACAGTGATCCTGGCCCAGGTGACTGGCAGTCATGGGTCCCAGTGCCCTGGCCAGTGAGAGGCCCACAAGTAAGCAGGTGACTCGACTGGGCCCATCCCTGTCCTTCCTGAGAACTTCAGGTCACCCACGAAGGAGGGGTTGCTCGTTTTGCGAGGACCAGGTGCTTCAAAGATGAGGCTACAGAGCTGTTGCTGGTGGTGGGAATAGGAGAAAATGCTGAGAGAAGCTGGCAGGTGGGCTGGTGGGGAAAAGCATCAGCACCACCATAGCCAGGCCCAGATTCCCCTGGCTTGTCACATCCCCCAATAAACTCAAACTAGTTGAGCGGAGTTTCTGCCTTGCGTGGCTGGTGTCCTTAGCCCCTCACTCAGTGCCCTAATAGACACCTGTGGGCAGAGGGGCCAGGAGGCTGGAGGGATGGGGGAAGGGTGGGCCTTTGGAGAAGGTCTAAGGGGGATGGTAGTGGATTCACAGCTGTTCTAAGGCCCAGGACTGGGAGGTGGGAGGGAAGGACCAGAAGGGTGAGAAGGTGGCATAATAAGAAGGCCAAGGGCAGAGGTGGGGGCCCTGCTCTGGAGAGAAAACCAAGGGTGTGGCTGGATAATCACTTGGTAAAGATATTAGGCAGGTGACTTGTGAATCTAAGGGACCATTTCAGCAGAAACACTGACAGCTTGTACTGAAGGAGACAGATGGGATGAAATGAACGAAGGCTGTCAGACACCTCTGTGAAATGGGCAGATGGGACTATTCAACCTTCAAGAGGAAAGAATAACCCAGAGGGAGGCTCAGGGGCCAGTAGGGCTGTCCTGCCACCACAGGCCTGGGGTACTGGTTCTAAAAGGTGGGGCCAACACCCTGATAGGCTCAGAGGACAGAGTATGGAGCTAAAGAGGATCATTTTGTTAAGAGAGAAACGAAAGGCCCAAAACGGGGTCACTTGTGCTAAGCCCCACATCAGCAAACCGAGACTCAGTACCTTAACCTAACTGCAGTTTCAGCCTCTCCCAGGAATGTGACCTTGAACCAGTTAATCTGGAATTACCTGGCCAGCACTAGTGAGGTCATCTGCCTGATAGACCCCTGGCTTCCCCCAAAGAAAGGTGATCTTGACTAAAACAATCCACTCTTTGCTAGAAACTTCCTTTCCCTGCCTCCTTCTGCCTATATCAAGCCTTTCATTTTGTACAGCTCATCAGAGCTCCTTTCCAGGTGGGATGCTGCTCCGTTCATGAATTGTTGAATCTTTAATTTTACGCAGTTGAATTTTGATTTTTAACAATGCTCAAGCCCTAAAACCGAATGCAATTTGTGCTGCCAGGTTTCAGACTTGCCGGGGATGCACGAGCCTTTTATTCCTTCCTATCCTCTGTTTTGGAATGGTAATGTCTAGCCTATGCCTGTCCCCCCACCGTATTTTGGAAACAGGATAACTTGTTGTCTGGTTTCACAGGTTCATAGATGAAAGGGAATTTTGCCCCAGCATGAATCAAACCCTGAATCGCACCCATACCTGACTTGGATGATTTAGAGGATGGCATTTTGGACTTAAAGGTGATGCTGGGATGATTATGACTTTTGGAGATGCTGGGATGAGGTGAATGTATTTCACACATGAGCAGGACATGAATTTGGGGGGGGGCCAGGGAGCAGACGGTTATGAGTTGAATTGTGTCTCCCAAAAAAGACATGTTGAAGTCTTAATACCCAGTACCTTAAAATGTGACCTTATTTGGAAAGAAGGTCTTTACAGAGGTCATCAAGTTAAAATGAGGTCATTGGAGTAGATGCTAATCCAAAATGACTGGTGTCGGGACTCCCCTGGTGGCGCAGTGGTTAAGAATCCGCCTGCCAATGCCGGGGACATGGGTTCGATCCCTGGTGCGGGAAGATCCCACATGCCTCGGAGCAACTGAACCCGTGCGCTACAACTACTAAGTCTGTGCTCTAGAAACTGCGAGCCACAACTACTGAGCCCATGTGCTGCAACTACTGAAGCCTGTGCACCTAGAGCCCATGCTCCACAACAAGAGAAGCCACCGCAATGAGAAGCCCATGCACCGCAACAAAGAGTAGCCCCCACTCAGCGCAACTAGAGAAAGCCCACATGCAGCAACAAAGATCCAATGCAGCTAAAAAAATTTAAAAAAAAGACTGGTGTCCTTATAAAAAGGGGATATTTGGATACAGAGACATGCACAGAGGGAAAGCGATGTGAATAGACACAGGGAGAAGATGGCCATCTTCCAGACAAGGAACACCCTAGGCTACCAGAACCTAGGAGAGACCTGGGACAAATCCTTCCTGGCCCCTTAATGGCGAGCATGGCCCTACCAACACCTTGATTTCGGACTTCTACCCCAGAGCCATGAGACAATACATTTCTGTTGTTCTAAGCCAGCCAGTCGGTGGTGCCCTCTGACAGCAGTCCTAGAAATGTACCTAGCCCTGGGCCACCCAGACTTCCATGGTCCACTTGGGAGATATACTTTATGAGACCACCTGTGAAGCAGGCTGAGGAACAATGAACCCTGAATCTTACCAAACCTTGAGATCCGACTACCAGTTTACAGGAAATGAAGGGACAGAAAGCCATGTTACACGGCACCATGAGGATGCAGTCAGCAAAATTTAGACCATTGGAAATTCCACAGGACAAAGGAGGTGGTTTCTTCAACCATGGCAAAAAATGCAAAGGTCCAAGGTCCAAGGTGGGGCGTGGAGGGGGATGGAGATGAAAAGAGACTGAAGAGGTGGATCAATCAGTTGCACTCTTTGCAGCTTATTTGGACCCTGATTCCAAGGCACGAACTGCAAAGAAAATATGTCTGAGATATTCAGAGACTGTCAAATACGAACAGGATATATGATGAAATACAGGAATTATTGTTAATTTTATTAGGTGTCATCATGGTATTGTGGTGATGCTTTTTTTTTTAAAGACACTTTATCTCTTAGAAGGTCATTCCTAAACATTTACAGGTGAAGGAATGGAGTGGCCAGGAGGCAGGGGAACAGAGTGGAGTATAGATGATGCAAAATGGGCCCCTGGGTGGACCACTGTTGGAACTACGGGGTGGGTACGTGGGTCCGTTATACTCCTTCTTATTTACTATTTACTCTACTTAAGTGTATGTGTGAACTTTTCCAGAGTAAAAAAAAAAAAATCAATAGGCACCAGCAGAAGGGCTGCCACTGACTCTCCCAGGAAGAGCAGACACATGGTGGGAGAGCCAGGGAAGACCGTTACCTTTCAGATAAGACAAATTTTCCATCTTTGAGACTGGGCAGCTTCCTCAGGGGGTTGATCTCAATGTACTCCTTGCTGTGGTGGTGACCTGAGAGGTGCAGGAAGGTCTGAGGCTGCTGGGACCCCAGGGAAGAGAGACCCAGGCCTCCCAGAGGCAGAAATGCCTTTCTCTCCATTTTCGCAAGAAGGGAAACTGAGTCCCAGAGGAAAACCATGGCTCACCCCAGGTAAGGGGGCAAATCAGCGGCCCAACAGGGACCAGGTCAGGACGCCTGCCCCCATCCCAGGCTCCGTGACCAGGACAACCTTTATGGCTCACAGAAGCTGGAGGCCTCCAGCCCTCACCCCCAACTCTGGGCCTAAAGCCACAGCCTGTGAATCAACAGAAGCCCTAGGGGCCTGGATCCCACCCCTAGACCCCCTGCCCCTCTAAGGGGAGCAGGGCAGGTGCCAGCACAGGAGCCCCAGGCCCAGCACACAGATGGAATCCAAAAGGGAGCCTCCCATAGGCACTCAATCCAAGTGATCCGAACAGAGAACCCTATGTGTGTGTGGGGGGGGGGGCTCGGGGGGGGTTTTAACTCCTCCTTGGTCAGCTGCCTCCACTGAAAACACTTCAGGGGGCTCTACTTCCACCCCGATAATGTCCAGGGCTCCCGGGTCTCCTCCTCTGTGTTCTGGAGGCTCCAGCCTCTGCAAGCTGAGGTTTTAGAGCTGCTTGGAGTGGTGAGGGAGAGTGCGGCCACGGACCTCACCCAGGCTTGGGGGGTCACCCTGAGCAGGTCTGAACACTTGGAGCGGGGGAACGGGTGTGGATTGAAGTAAATGAGGAATAACCGTGCGCCTCTGCGACCTCTGCCAAACTAATTGGCAGGTGCTGCAGCTGACGAGGTGCTGGGCACCCTCGAGAAGAAGGTGGGGCGCTAGGTGGGGGTCCCTCCGCCCCTCTTCCTCCCACTTCCCCCCAGAAGAGCCTGTTCACAGTGGGGCAGAGTCCGTGGGGACCCGCAAAGGCAGGCGGGGCAGGAGCACCACCACCAATTCCCTTGGGAAGCTTTTCTTCCCCTGTGGACTTTGTGGGGGTCTCCTCTGTCTCTGTCTCCGCTTCTCAGAAATACCCCAACCTTGTGTCCTGCCTTCCCACCCGGGCAGCTGCGGATGCCAACCTTTCAGCAGATCCACAAACTGGAAGTCGAAAGGGATGCCGTTCTTCCGGGCAAAGATGTAGACAGCGCGGCACGACGCAGACAGCAGGTCCAGGTAGAGCTCCAGGCCCATGCTGGGCCCCCACTGCGGCCGGCAGACACCCAGCCTCAGCCAAAATGTAGCCTGCGCCCTGGCCCTGTGCCCACCAGCCCAGGCCCAGGCCCCCGCGTTCTGGAACCTCTTGTTCACTTGGTGTTTTCATGAGGCCGAGAAGCCTGGAATTCTCACAGCAGCAAAGATTCTGAGGAAACCCAGGAACAGGCTGGGGAGAGGCCTGTGGCTTGGGGCCAAGGGGTCAGGGGTGGCTGTGACCTTGCCCTTCCCCTCCCTGGGGGTGTCCGTTTGTACTCCTGGCCCGGGTCTGAGAAGGGCTTCCACGTGGGCGCTCCCAGGGCCAGTCCTTCATGGCAGAACGTAATCGAAGGGGCGTTGCAGGGTCCAGAGTGAGGATGGGATGAGAACTAACCCAGGAGGGTTCCAGAAGCAGGGAGCGGGGATATCCACAGGTCAATCTAGCCTGAACTGTGGCTAGAAACAGGTGGGGAGAAAGAAACAGGAGCCCAGGGGGCCGTCAGGGCATTGGGGTGACGCCACAGGGGACTCAAGGGGCCACGCAGAGGAGCCCAGAAACCTCCAGCCTGGGTTGGGACCGGCTGTGGCCAGGCCGAGCACCTGGACTCAGCACCTGGCGGCAGAGGAAGGTCACTGTGGGGGCCTGAGTGCTGCTCACTCTGAGCTACGTGACTTCAGGAGATCCCCTGACCATTTGGAAATGGGGAGAGCCCACTTCCCGGGACAGAAAGAGGCTGGACACGAGTTGGGGGCACACAGAGTGTTTACTGCAGATGGCAGAGCGCAGGGGCGCGGCAGACCTTCAGCGGAGCCGCTCCTTCACCCTCTGCACAAGCTTCTGGGCCAGCTGGGGGTCCCACTGGGCCTCTTGGGGGGTCCCGAGGCTGAAGCACTCACCTGTGGGCCTCCTGGACGAGCTCAAGGCCCAGGGTGGCCTCCACACAGGCTCGCCACACAGCAAGCCAGGGCCAGTCTTGGAAGAGGTCGCAGCCGACGGCAGTGGGCTGGGGAGACAGGGCAGCTGGGGCCTGGGCTCAGCCTGCGCCCAGAGCAGCCCCAGAGGACAAGTGGGCAGGAGAACCTCACCTGCATCAGCTCTGTGAATGCCATCAGATCCGCCCGGGAGACCTGCTCAGTGGCCAGGAAGGGCCTGGCCGCCAGGACCTCCTGATCCAGGTGCTGCAAAGCGGGCGTCAGCTTCCCCAACGGCTGCTGCAGCTGCACAGCATCCACAGGCTGCCCGGAGACGTGGGGCAGGAGAGACTGGGCTGGGAAGAGAGGCGACAGCTTATCTTGGGGCCCTCCAAGCCTCCTCAACCTCCTCTTCACCCTCCCTCAGCAGCCATTTATCAGCGATGCCCTCTGGGGCTCTGCGTTCAGAATGATTCTGAGGTTTCATTCAGGCTCAGGGGAAAGACAGCTGTGATAGATTAGTGATGGGCAAAAAGTGAGGACAGGGGACGGGCATTCAGAGCCCAGTGCAGCCCCAGGGCTGCCCAGCTCCTGTGACTCTGAAAGGACATGTTCAGACATCTGGGGAGGGGCTCCCCTCAAGCCTGGGTCTTCCCCGGTGGCCTACACCCCCTTCCACTCTGAAGCTCCCAGCTTTAGCCCCAAAGCAGCCCCCTGGTCCAGCTCCCAGCCCTCTGAGCTGGATTCGCTGAAAGGAGGAAGGGGCCCAGCAGTCTGGAAAGATCTTCAAGCCAGGGGCTACCAGCTTTCTGTCTGCCTCCTTCTGCCTCCCCCCAGCAATGAGCCCCAGACCCAGGGCACCTTACCTCTCGGCCACCAGAAAGTTCCCATCCCTGAGGGCAGGCACCTTCTCCAGGGGGTTCACCTTCAGGAATTCGGGTTTCAGGTGCTCCCCTTGGGGGCAGAGAGCAGAGGAGGCTCAGCGCAGGGTCTGGCCCCTAGGCGCCCCTCCGTGGAGCCCACCTAGCTCTGCTCACCCTGTGCCAGCTCCACAGGGTGCATCTCAAAGGGGATGCTGTTCTTCCTGGTGAAAATGTAGATGGCACGGCAGGGGGGTGAGTACAGGTCCAGAAAGAGCTCAAGCACCATCCCTGTGCTTCCCGTCGGCCCTCTACTCAGGCCTCCAAAATGGGGTCCATGGTCTGATCCATGCCCCTCCCTGAAGCCTACTCCCTCCACAACTGGCTGGGCGCCCAGCCAAGCCATCACACCTTGTGGCCTCTGCCCCTGTGAGGGGCCGGTCACTGGTTTTTCAAAAGCAGGGTCCCCAGCCTGGTCCTCCTCCGCCTTCATGGGGCGGTGCAAGCTGATGGACACTCCCACCCCTGCTCTCTTCAGCTGGGGGGGCCACATCCCCACCCCCACCCCCACCCCCGCTTCCCTTCAGTCTAGACAGCTTTCACTGTTCTTCAAGTCCGCTGCGACACACATGTCAGGTTCTTAAGGATTTCTGTCTTCCCTCCCACCATGCCTGTGCCACGCACACCCCACACACACAACCCCACACACTCACAGAGTCATGCACACACACACACACACACACACACACACACACAGAAGCACACACACAGACACTCCCATGCCCACCCCACCCCTCTGAGTAACTATCCCAACTTCCTACTGGGACCTCCCTCTGCCCTCCTCGCGTGCCCCCCGAACCCCCGCCCCTTGGGCTCAGGCCAGACCCTCCATCACCAAGTGCTGTCTCTCCACCTCCTGCACCTCTTACCCCACAACCAAGACCCCGATGGCCTGGCAGCCTCACCAGCCTCCAGACTCAGCCCTGCCTCCATCGAGACTCTCATCCTGGTGCACACAGCACAGCACCAGAGGTTTCCTTTCTTTCTTTCTGTCTTTTTATAAATTTATTTACTTTTTTAAATTTTTGGCTGTGTTGGTTCTTCGTTGCTGCGGGTAGGCTTTCTCTAGTTGCGGCGAGTGGGAGCTACTCTTCTTTGCTGTGCGCGAGCTTCTCATTGTGGTGGCTTCTCTTGTTGCAGAGCGTGGGCTCTAGGCACACGGGCATCAGTAGTTGTAGGCACACGGGCTTAGCTGCTCTGCCACATGTGGGATTTTCCCGGACCAGGGATCGAACCCATGTCCCCTGCATTGGCAGGAGGATTCTTAACTACTGCGCCACCAGGGAAGCCCCTCCCTCCCTTCCTCCCTTCTTTTCTTTTCTTTCTTTCTGGATTTCCTCTTTATTTCTTCTTTCCTTCCTTCCTTCCTCCCTTCCTCTTTTCTTTCTTTTTTGATTTCCTTTCTTTCTTCCTTCCTTTCTTTTCTTTCTTTCCGGATTTCCTCTTTCTACCTTTCTTCTTTCCTTCCTTCCTTCTGTTTCTCCTTCCTCCCTCTTCCTTTCTTTTTCTTTCTTTCTGGATTTCCTCTCTTTTTCCTTCCTTCCTTCCTCCCTCCCTTCCTCCTTTTTTTCTCTTTCTCTCCTCCTTCCCTTCAACTCTTTCCTTCTTTCTCATGTAAGGAGCCCTGGGAGACTGCTCTCCCTTCCCTGCCCCACCCCACCTATAAGCAAATAAATCTGTTGAAAATAGAAACGTGGGGACTTCTCTGACGATCCAGTGGTTAAGACTCCCCGCTTCCACTGCATGGGGCACACGTTCGATCCCTGGTCCTCGAACTAAGATCTCGCATGCCCAGGGCGCAGCCAAAAAAAAGAAAGTAGAAATGTGGGTAAGGGAACCCCGAGAAACTTGAAAGCATGGTGTGCTTTCACCTGTGCTGTATCGGACGCTTATGGGCCATTCCCTAAGTTTGTGTTTGGGCTCGCGGTTGGTTGTAAAGAGCCCTTGACTATAACACAGGGCGAAGGCTTTGTGATGATTAAAGACCGTGCGTCGCGTCCTCTCGAGACCCTGCTAGGATGCGGCCACGGAATAAGAAGCGTTCTTCACAAATGACAGGAAAAGGCCACCGGAGAGGAAATGCAAGAAAATTCCCCAGGTTTACGCCTAAAAATGTAAATCCCCAGTGAAACCAGTCTGAGACTCTATCGGTAAGGAAAAAAGCGCAACGCAGTAGAAAACTGGGCAAAAGATAAGAACTTTTTTTCTTTAAAAAAAAGAAAGAAAATCAGTGTTTTTCTTGCATTTGCTGTTTTTCCAGCGTCTGACTCAAAATAGTCAATATGCCAGAGTAGCATATTTGGGGGTAACTGTTCTGACTTCCTTCAATTATAAACACATACCTAACGGCAAACACCAAATTCCCAAGCGTGGAGGTTGAGGTGGAAGCACCCGAGGGCTTCACTTAAGCCCGACCCACGTGGGGGATACACGAGTACTTGTATATTATTCTCTATAATAATAAATTAAAACCTCCATACTAATAAAAAGGTCATTGCAAAAACAAAAATTACGCCAGACGGCCCTTCTCTTGGACGCGTGCCTCATGCCGGCCCTTGGAACAGCATTTCATCAGCCCTCACTTTGCCCCTCCGGCAGACACCACCAGCACACAGACGCTCGGGCCACCCGGCTCCAGGGCCCCCCTCTCGGCCCCGCCCCGCCGCGCGGAGCACGCTGGGAGCTGCCAGCCCCGCCCCGCCCCTCAGAGCACAGTCTCTCAGAGCATCGCCAGGAGCGTGGAGCGTAGTGTGGGCGGACCCACCACCTCGCCGCCCTCGCCCATGCCCTGCCAGGCCCCGCGCGCGGAGCTTGCCGGGAGGGGGGCGTTGCCATGGCAACGGTCGGCGCGTGCTGGACCGTTACGGTCTGGTGACACGCGCGCCCGTCTTGCCCAGGGACCCCGAGAGCGGTGGATGGTTCAGTTATTGCCGGGCGGCGGCCTAGGCTGAAGGGAAGGGGCGGGAAAACCACCCGGGAGGGGGGCCTAGAAAGCGCCGGGGCCTGTGGAGCGGAAGGGAAGGGTTTGGGGCCTCGGAGCTGAGACCCCGCCGGGCGAGGGGAGAGAGTGCAGTCTCCGGCCATGTCGAGTGGAAGGAACTGTGCCGGGTCCCAGAGGGGGAGACAGGAAGGCGCGAATAGAAGAGGGTGGACTCAAAAAGTGGAGGAAAAAGGGGAGGTGGAAGAAACAGAGCTGGGCAGACCTCCCAGCAAAGCTGAGTCCATGGCGTCATTCCCTAGCACTAGACGCCCCATCGCTGAGAAAAGCATAATAGACCCCTACTCATTTTTGGAAGGTCAATATTTTTTACGCACAGGATAGGGGAGGGGAAGAACGGTCAGGGAAAGGGGAGCAGGCAGGGAGGAGACCTGAGTCAAGAGCCCAGTTCTGAAGCAGGAAGGGTCCTCAGAGGTTGCTTTCACGTGTAGGTGGAAGTCTGACCACAGCTCTTTCTGGCGCTTAGAGCTCTCAGCCACTCTGAGTCTTCCCTCTACCTGTGGGAGACTTACCTTTGGGTTAAGGAGGGGAAAGAGGAAGGGACAGATGGACAGTAGCAGCGCAAGGAAGGGATGCCAATGGGAGGAGGAGAGAGCACCATGGAGGCCCACCCTGGTGAGAACTAGAGACTGGTTTTAAGAGAAGTACCTGTCATGACACCCCAGTCCCACCCATTTTAGGGCTTCTGGGTGAGGTGGACCAAGTCTAAGACTAGGGGGTCAGGGCAAGAAGCCTCACAGTAACCCTTGTCAATAGGAGACTTCACACGGGACCTCCCCCCATCTTGTTCATGCTTTGTTCATCCTTTGCCAGGGCACCTTGGGGTCCCAGGTGAGGACCTTGGTGGTCTTACTCCAATAGAAACTGCTGTGGCTGTAGGTGAATGGCCCCTGCACCGTAGGACAAGTTACCGCTGATAACGCCAGGGAACATCACAGTTGGGAGGTTATTGAGCTCCCCAGAGTTTTCTGAGGCTGCCTTGTCATCTGTAAAGTAATTGCAGCTCTGCCCTCTCTGGAGGTGGTTACAGAGACCTAGTGAGACGCTGAAAGTGCTTTTAAAGGGTGTGGGGCCCTGTAATGCAAGGACGTGTTACCAGAAAGCCCAGTCCACGTGGCTTGGGGAGCCACTGGGGAAGGAAGGGACTGGAGCCAACCTTACCCAGCCAGGGCCTGCTGCCACCACTTGCCAGCAGGGCCAGGTTGGCTTGATGGGCTGCCAGTCTGTTTGCTCTCGTTCTCCCTGTCCACGCTCTGGGTCCAGAGACCTGGATTTGAATCCTGGATTTGTCACTTACTAGCTGAGTGATCTTGGGCAAGTCATTTCAGCTTTCCTGCTTAAGTAGAGCTAAGGTGGCCTGTGAATGAAACCATATAAACGGAGGCATTTCTGGCTCCAGAGGAAGGCTGCTGCTGTCTGGGAGGAGCCCTTGCCAGGAATCTGTTAGAGACAGTTATTTTGTCACCAGCTGGAATGGCATGGGACAAAGCACTGCAGCTGTCTTGTCCTCACCAATTGCCTTGGCCTCATCCCTCATGTTATCCTGTCATTTTCAACCCAGTCACCTCCTTCAGGCTTAGCATTGGCCTTGGCCTTTGTTTCCTCCTGTGTGACTTGGGGGTGATGATTCCTGCAGGAATCAGTAAGCTTGGAATAAGGAAGCTCTCAGGTCACATTACAGTTCACATGCATTAGGTGGGGTATTCAGTCCTGAAGAGCAGCAAAAGGGATGGCCTGGTGTGAGAACAGAGCTGTGGAGAACATCAGGGGCCCTGTTAACAGCCAATAAGAGTCTGACCCATAAGCACCAGGGCGGGGTGGGGGGGGGTGGGCGTTGAGTCTTGACTAAAGAGTCTGTTGGAAAAGCAGGCTGAACAGAAAAACCGGGTCATTGTCAACACACTCAAGATGATAAGCAACCTTTTTTTATATATAAAGCGATTATTTAGATTGAGAAATTATGAATTTTAAAAACAAGTACCGGGCTTCCCTGGTGATGCGGTGGTTGAGAGTCCGCCTGCC